CTAAGATTATCTTTGCTCGCATATCTAGGACATTGAATGGACCCCACCTCAAGAACAAGTTGGATTCCGCGATAGATTCAGTTGCATGGACCACATCCACACGATTTGAGGGTCATAGAAGTCTCCCGGGAATACCAACTGCCTCTCGTTCTAACCTTCGTCGACTATAAGAAAGTCTTCGACAGCGTCGAAACGAATACCATTCTGTCGGCACTAGTCGATCAAGGAGTGGATACAGCTTACGTGAGGACACTAGCCCTTCCAGAAACATGCATTGGTGAAGCGCTGCAAGTCCACCACCTCTAATCCATGCCATCGTAAAACGGCTTTAAGAAGGATGTGCGTTACTATCGCGTGCACAATGGCCATCTTGTTCCTCCGAAGATATGTTAGATTCGCTTTCTCCCATTTATATTCATATACAGGGTGTCCCAAAAGTATGCATACACTGTTTATCGTTGATATCTCTTTTCCCAAGAAGTCTTTTGCCTACCTTCAGGTGCCATTTTGTGGAGCTGGCCTGAACTCAGATTTACGGTATGATCTCTTTTCAATACTATAGGATTACGGTACGAACTTCAAGAAGGGTTTTGAGCCATTAAGGGCTCTATTTTGCTTCGAAAAGCAAACCAAAGAACCTGGAAACTCTTACACTAGGCTAATTAGATTCGGCAAAACCAAAAGTGATTATTACCGCAAGGGTTCCTTGATGACTTATGCCAGGTAAACCGCAGTAGCTGTCCTTACAAGGCTCCCTACTGATTACACAATTTGGAAAGCTTTACAAACTCCTAAAAAGTTGAGAAATTAGCGCGCGTAAACTTCCTGATACACCACTTTTCAGAATTTTTGTAAAGTTTTTCTGAAACAGGACTAATCCGTAATGACGGTGTAAGCCAAAAGTTCCCACCGTAACCCTACAGTAATGAAGGGCGACGATAATCCGCTCAATGCTGCAAAACTAAGTTGAAGCTAGCTCTACAAGATGGTACCTGAAGGTAGGCAAAAGACTTCTTGGGAAGAAAGATATTAACGATCCAGCAGTGTATATGTACTTTTGACACCCTGTTCACTGACTCCATACGTGAGCAAGTTAGGGGTTCCGAGGACTTTTCTAAACGATTTTTGGGACACTTTTGGGACACTCTGTATATTTCTATGTATATAAAACTCAAAAATTGTCTATTTAGGGTATGTGCTTCTTAGAAATGCCCACGGCTGAACCGATTGAGCTGAAACTTTGCACACAGATGTTTTTACCCTGGAAACGGTTAGGCTACTTTTCACGAAAAATTCGTCGGGTCCTTCCATCGATTTATCGATTTGATTACTGACTCTTAGAAAAATGAAAGCTTGCATCACATCAAGTCATTTCACCACAGATGTGAACGGGGACCGTAGATCTCATATTCACTAGGTGGTTAGGCAGCATGCGGTGACTCTACGTGAGTCGCTTAGTGGAGCCCTCTATCCTTAAAAGTTTTCTCGCGCTTTGTATTCTGTGCAGGAGAGGAGGGCAAAGCGAGGTGGCCAGGTGGAGGTTAAGCGCAAGATAAGGTAAGTCCTGCCATTTCGCTCGGGGGTGTGTACAGGGCCCGGCACGCGTTGGTTTGGAGGTTTTTAGGTCCCCCATGACTTTGCGAAAATTTACGAAGTCCCCCTCGACGTGAAAATCAGCACGGAAACCCTAATTTAACAAAGTAGCAACAAAAAAGCGAAAAAGCGCATTTTGAGGCATGTAATATAACAAAAAAGCAAAAAGAAAACCTTTCGGGTCGATTAAAGACTCTGCCATTGGATATAGTACCATAATGATGCTGGGAATGTCGAAAATTTCCTAGGCCAACCAAAACTGTAGCCTCAACTCTGCGTTGCATTTTTCGCCACTTATTTCAAAGGACACCGCAAGTGATTGGAGCGCGATATCTATCAACGCGTAGAATTATACTACTTTTGACTCAAAAAAGGGGAGAGGCGACGGTTTGATCCGCTCTCTTCACTATATGATAGATTTTTGATCGTTCTAATCGTCCAAATCAAAAAGGTCCAAAACTTATGTGAACTCTCCGATATTTATGCTCCGAACCAACCCAGTTGGTTTGGTAGTTGGTCTAGAAACACAAATTCGAGAACGTATATTAGGACACATAAGTTTTGGGAACTTTTTACATAACATAGTTTGGAGTAATATTGTAGACACATAGCCCAAATTCGGAGCCATGCGATTGTTTGTGCACTGTGAACAAGCCATTTGTTTGTTTGTGTCTTGCATTTGAAATTCGCGCGCTTGCGAAAGAACACGTTCAACTCGTGAAACCTGACATGTCCGTCGTGTTTTTTTTTCGCTTCCTCCAGGACCTCAAAAAAACGATGTCCCCGTTGCTTCTAACTGCAAAAACGAAGTCCAGTTTGACCCCAAACCATCGGTGCCGGGCCCTGGGTGTGTACCGCTTGACGGTTTGGCTACCCAGTTCCATGTGAAATCGGGTATGCCAACTATAACGTATAAGGGGGGGGGGTCGCAGCGCATAGGTGAACTGTGGCCCGGGTTGGACCGGGAAACAACTAGTATATATACATTCACTTTCAGAAATCAAGAAATGCCCTAGTTAGACTTGGACGCACCGACAAGGAGGGAATGAGTACGGATGCTTGGAATGAAAACTTAGGCAGTAAGCCGTGAAAAAAGTTTGTTCGTTTTATCGGCAGTTACTCATCACGGGCATATCTACTCAGTTATTTGATGAAGTTTTTGTTTTGATTGTGTGCTTCATTTCATTTTAATAAATATATATTAGGTTGGTAAGAAAGTTCTCAGACATTTGCGACCCAAAATTGTTTATCTCACCTTTTAAAAACAACGTACCAAATCATTTGAAGTAATCGCCATCGAAATCGATGGTCTTCTGCCAACGCTTGGGTAGGTCGTGGATCGGCTGCGATTCGAAAAATGAGTTCAATGCCGCTTTGACCTCTTCGCGTTTCTTGAAGTCTTGTCCGTCCAGTGGCGTTGGAGAGCAGAAAAAGGTGGTAATCTGATGGAGCGAGATCAGAGGAGTAGGGTGGGTGTGGTGAAACAGTCCATCCATAACTCGCCAGCTCGTTCTTGGTCGCAGTTGCTATGTGCGGTCTCGCACTGTCGTGTTGGAAATACACTCGAGCGTGCTGTCTTCGTGTGTTTTGGAGCTGAGAATTTAAACGTCGTAGCTGAGCAATGTAAGCTTCGGCAGTTATCGACCTTCATCCAGCAGCTCCCACTATTCAACCGCGTAGGCTCCACTAGATGCACAGCATCACCTTCTTTCCGTGTGCGTCGGGCTTCGGGACGGCTTGCGCATCGTCTTCTTTGTCTACCCACTGGGCACGGCGCCGGACATTAGAGTACAAGACCCACTTCTCATCTGCAGTAATGAGATCGTCCAGCCAATGGTGTGAGAAGTGAAAGTGCGACGTCGGCCCTGCGTTTCATGTCATGTTGGGTCAAGGCCTGGGGTACCCATCGACCAAGCTTCTGGACTTTGCCAATTGACTTCAGCCCTTTTTGTACAGTGACATGGGTAACACCAAGGTTCATTGCCATTTCACGTGTAGTTTTATAAGGATTTGTTTCCACTTCGTCCCGCAGCAAGTCCAAGTCCAACTTCATCGGGCGACCCTTGCGGTCGTCATCTTCCATAGAATAGTCGCCTTCCTTGAACCTGGAGAACCAGCGATAGATGGTGCTTCTAGTCACCGCATCTTCCTTATAAACATCGTACAGGCGAAGATAGGCTTCGTTGGCATTGAGGCCTGATTGGAACAGAAATAGCAAAACATGCCGAATATGGATTTCCGAAGGCTTGAAACGGGAAGGCATTTCTGCTGACGATCGATATGATAAACTGATTATCTGAGCATATCGGATAGAGCTGCTTTCGACATATCGATTGATACCACATTTGACCTACCAAACTCGTTCTTACTTTTTTTTTACTTGTCAAAAAAGTGGAGTCAAAAATGTCCGAGAACTTTCTTACCAACCTAACAGATTGTTTTTTACGGCAACCGCATGAAAAGTGGTCATTAGCTGAGATTTCAAGAAATCAAGCAAGAAGTTTCCGGGAACTTCAGCTGTAGAAATTCCCATAAACTACAATCTTTTGGCTTTCCAGAGCATTGGATGAAGAGGTTCCGGCAAACCACAATCTTTTGAAAAGTTCCCGAAAACTTCGAAGCTGAAGTTCCCAGGACAATGGAGTTCCTCAATTGACCCGCCGGAGCTCTCCTTAATGCTCCGGAATTTCCCGGCGTTTGTCTAAGTGAAACTCGTGGACGCAGCCACCGACTTCAACGAAGAAGATTGTGGATGTCTGAAGCACGGGACAGGAATTGATGTAAACTTTTGTGGTGAGGCCCGCACACCACGTAAAGACGGGCCAATTTACAAGGGAATGGTCAGAAGTCAAAGTGGCCAATCCATAAAGGCTGCATACCATTCGATGCAGCATAGAATGCTGATTTCAAATTTGTCTTCCATATCTGCAGAGCGCCTTTGTAGCCGAAGTATGAGCAGCTTTATTACGAAAAAATCGTATACAAAAATTACGAAATAGGCACATTATTGCTCTACCAGCTCACCTTTAGGTATGGGTCACTCACATGAAGTGGCTTAGTTGTATCTTTTGGTCCAACACTGAGCCGAGAATGGCTTTGGCCAAGTTTGCACTTTGCACGCACAATTTCTTGGCAAAATAATGGCCTTCAACAGCTTATAATTTCGTTAACAAAAGCGCTCTGCAGATAAGGAAGACAGATTTAGAGCCAGCATTTTATGCTGCATCTAATGGTATGCAGTTTGTATGGATTGGCCACTTCGACTTCTGACCATTCCCTTGTTAGTATCGAAGTAAGTCTGAAAAAATCTTTGTGTAAATCTAGAAGAATTTTGTAGGGACCTCAACACTTCCGTCTTGCATTGTCGTAACTCAGAACCTTAGAGAAACCTAAATCAAACAACTCACCATCGCGACGTCGATCGAGCTGCGAATGTCGTTTGGAGCCGTTTCTCTTTGGTGTGCCTGACCACGCCTCGCGCGATCTTGGGATACTGTATTACACCATAAAAGAGTGACACTAGTTTGTTATATTGAAGTACTTAGTAAATGTGAATTTGGGATAAAAACAAAACACAGACATTATGTATGGAAAATAGCAAAACAGCTTTTATATTTTGAGGAAAGCACATTTTTAAACTCCCCCCCCCCATTGTTTGTTAACTTTCCCTCACTTCCTTAGTGCAAAACAAGTTCACTTTACTTTTGTAAATTTTTCAAGCCATTTTCGGCCCGTTCCAGCAATTTTTTGGCCAGTCTTAACGCAGACTTTGTTTCATCAATCTTTCTTGTTCCAAGAGTTGGAGAAGACTGGGATTAGATGGCGTTAGACGGTCGTTCTTCTCCTCTATGCTCAATTAAGATGGAATTTGTTTTCAAAGCTTAGTGCATACAAAACGCTTTATGTGAAAAAATCGGTAACGGACCTTGCATTTTGGCATCGTTTCTTTAAAAAAGGAAAACGTGTTCTGGATAAATTACAAATTTGCATTAATTTCAATTTACGAGAGTAAAACATATTCGCTGATACCTTGCTTTGAATTTAGTCTTGCTTTACAAAAAATCTATTTTAATTCTGTTCGTAAACAGCTACAACGTTAGGATTTACATATCCATACAGATCTTCACCTTTACGCAAGTCTCAAAAATTTGCAGCGCAATGAGTCCACAATTTTTGAGAAATAAATTCAGTCAGTTGTATGCATAGCCACTGTTTGCCGTTTGTTAGCAGAGAGTATGATCGAAAAGTGCAAAACTGATTTGAAGATAGGAAAGAGAAAAGCTATGAATTCGACATTGCGCTTTTGTTCTGTATTTTGGTTGTTGCTTAATGTGTACAAAGTATGGACATAATGAATCTTGGTTGACTTCGACAAATGTTGAAGAAAAAACAAATTCTTATGATTGCGAAGCGCGAACATCTTTTCTTTATCGATGGTTGTTTCTCAATTTGTTTTACTCACATGCATACCAGTCATTTTCGCTTCTGTTGTCCTCATTCTTCTGTCATTCGCTTTTGGTTATAAAAAGAATGAGGACTCCTCAACAGCAGACATCACGAAAGCTCGAACCAAACGTAAAAGCCATGGCCCTTCCGAACGATTCTCACGATTAATATCGATATTATCGATGAATCAAATGCTAATAAGGGAAGCATGTTTGGTCTCTGTGCTTCGATGGAGCAATGATTTTCAACAGATAACTTTTTCAATAAATACTTCAAGATAAAAATATATGACATTTCTTTATTTGAGGGCTAGTAAGATTTTAGCAACTCATTCTTTCCCAAATGGACTTTGATTTCTTGTTCCAGTCAAAGTTCATAACTCCTCAGATAATTGGCGGGAGCAGGCGGCCATGCGAATTATGTATGGGCGGGCGGGCGCCGAAAAATAGTTCGTTGTTTTCTTGCGGTCCGCTTGCAGATATTTGAAGACTTTTAGCGAAATTTTAGACGAATGCTTGGAGAACAATCGCGGTGTCCTTATTAGCTGCGGCGCGGTGGCTGCATTCTAGCGGACTTTCCGCGAGAATATGCAAAATTATTGAGGGAGGGCCGCGCAACCCCCAGTACTTTCCGCTGAGAGAAAGTACTTCAAACTTGAGTAATCAAACCATCTCACCTTTCCTCGGCGTAAGCCCGAAACTGCTTAAAAACCGTCCGAGCGCCAGCTGAAAATTTGACCAACGCTTGCTGAAAGAGATTATTTGGCGAGCTCCTGCAGAAAATTCTGTGTTGCTGCCCGCTGGCAGAACATTAGACAATAAAGGAAGTACCGCTCGCTGAAGGTTTGGCCACGCCCCAAAATTCTGCTGACCGCTCGCAGAAAAGCGCGAGTTTGCGGACCGCCTGCCCCGGCGATTATCTGAGTCCTTGTCCACAAACGTTCTTTGGAATTAACACTTATGCTCTTCAATATCGTATGCAACTCACTTCGACCAAACATGCTTTCCTTAAAAGTAGACATATTCAAAGGCATCTTTTCTTATGAGAACGACCGTTACAGTCCGACAAGTTTATCGCTTCCAGTATTCTTTCGCAGTACCGCAAGATAGGGCACTTCATCAGAAATTGCTACTCGTCAAAAACTTAGCTGTACCCATAAAAAGGACCTTTCAAAACTGGTTGTTTCAAAACGAAGGTTGCCGCCTGAGCTCATAAATCGTCGCTGTTTCTTACCTATGAGTCATAGATACAAAGTGAGCCGTTAACAAAAACTGTTGCTTGTGTGGAGAAAGATTGCATCACTCATTAAATGAGTATTAACAAAAGTTTTTACAGTTAAATCAAAATTTGATTATATCCTTCTAAAATTAATTTTATCTCTGAAATACTGAGCTTTAAAACAGCCAATTTTTTTCTTCGCTTTTGCTGGCCGTGCAGGTTTGTTAGGTGATATATTTATTTACTCGAATTGGCTCAACGTTTCGACAGCTTCATCATCCTCAGAGGCCTGAAAAGACTCAAAGCGTTATTTGCAACACCAGACCACCAATAGTAGGGGCCCCGGCCAGCTTCCCATAGGTAGGCGCCAGACTAAGCGACTGCTTTGCTCAGCTGTAAAAGGCGCGCAGAATTAATGTCTGCTGCATATTATCTGTTGCTGCTGAGGCCTGCTTCAGCTGCAGGTCCCGCGCAGAATTAATGTTGATTCTGTGCGCCTTTTGCAGCTGAACAAAATATTCGCTTAGTCTAGCACCTACCATAGGAACCTCCGCGGCGCATACGCATCGCGCGCAACGCGCGCTCTGCTGGCGCTTCTCATCTCATTTTTAAACAAAAAAAAATTTTACGTGAAGATAGGATAGAAATAAGAAGTGCAAACCCTCTAATCTCAGCTCGAGAATGTCCTAAGCAGAAGAGAATTTTCACAACTTTCACTAACACTTAGCTAGTCAATCTCATGAATGATTGTATGATACTACCAATGATGGGTGAAAGTCATAGATGTTACAAAGAAAGGAGCATTTCTGAAACGTCTTTCTTCTATAGTCGGATAAAACATGAGAAGTGTAAACTTGAAAGCGTGATTGTACAAGAAGAAGTTTCAATGTGCATCGACAAGGAACTAAAAGCACTTATACGAAACGAACCCATTCGGAGAGATGCGTTAGGTCCGTCATAGAAACCTTTGCAGATAACTCTCCCTAAAATGCACTCAATCTTCACTACCGAGGGAAAAAACTAGAACTTTCTGAAATAAATGCTCCTCAGGACCTCTAAGGCTTGTAAAAGCTTTTAGACATCAGCTGTAGTGGGTCGCTTAACCCTAAGATAAAGAGATTACAGAAAAAACAAAGTCAGTAAAGATAGAAAAACGTATAAAAACCAATAGAGGCGGGATGAAACCGCACTGAAGGCATGCGCTGCGTGCGCGAAGGTACAAATGGGATGTTGCCGGGGTCCACACTATATCTCCTCCACCTAGCTAGTTTCGGCCTTTTCTCATTTCTCTTCGCAGAGTTTCTTGGCAGAAATGAACGCACCTCTATATCACCGCTGTTTGAGATGTCCGCGCTGAAAGTGACAGAGTTTAGCGGACAAGTGAGCAATATAGTAGAGGACCAAAAAACCATCTACAATCGGAGCTCGCATAACGATACATACGGCAGGAAGTCGGCAGTAATAGACCAACACTCATTCCCGTTGTTCACTTCTGGATTCGTTCCAGAAATGAACAACAAGAATGAGAGTTCCAGAGTTCCAGAAAGCTTTCAATGCTTTTCGAGCCAAAATCTCTTGTTCATGCGTTAGAATCGTGCACTTCACCTTAAAGTGATTTCCACCGTGCGACTCGTTCCTGTATCTACTTAGAAGAGTGTCACTAGGCTTTTGCATCTCTTACTCAGGCAATCGCCGGGAGCAGGCGGGCACCGGAAAAATAGATGGCTGATTTCTCGCACCCTGCTCGCAGATTTTTTGAAAAGCAATCAAGACTTTTCGGGACGCCGCTTGTTGCGTTCTCGATTCCTCAGAGATTCAGCAGTATATCTGCAAAAGATAAGAGCGAAAAAAGCTTCAACAGGCGGTCTTTCAAATCTCGCTGACCATTTTCCTGGAATTCGCGAGCGGAATGCGAAATGTCAGCAACGCGTATTTTCTCCGACTGCCCGACGATTGTCTGAGTACTTGCAAAATTCTTTTACGCCTACGCTTAACACCCTGCTAATTTCACTAATATATAGCGCGCAGCAATCAAGGCATTTAAACTGGTACACAATTCCAACTTTTGCGCTATCTCACTCTTTGCCATATGAGCATACTATACACTGCTCGGTTATACATTGTCGGTCGTAGAGACGATTTCGCACAAGCTGCTTCTTGAGATTCTCGTTCGGTATGCTGACTAAAACGACGTCATCAAGCAGCTGCGCGCGAGCAATGCATTTGCAAAAGGCACAGGCAATTTTACCAGATATGAATGGCATACATAATGGGAGTTTGTTGGTATTCTGACTGTGATCACCGTGTATGGGACGTCGCCTTTGCGTAGATACAGAATAACCACTACTGCGAGCTATTTGTGAGGCCCTCCTCTCCGGAGCTCCTTATGGTCGCCGTTGAACATGTTTCCGATTACAGCGACATAGGGTGTGCGGTTGATGAAAATGTTTTTGCAACCGTCCTTACGATACCATTTCATTGTCACAACGCCATTAGACAATTTGAACAACGTAGTTAGGTAAGGCAGCCATCTTCCTCGCGGTTTTTCGCGCGTGACTTTGATGTATTCGGATTGTTGATTCAGAATCTTGTAGCATTCGTCCATTTCAGACTGTATCGCAGTTGCCAAACAACAGTCATCGATATACCTACATCAATGTGATGCAGAAGAAAAGGCCTGCGAGAGACTTTCCTAGTCGAACATGGAGGATTGTCAATGATGGTTCAAAGATAATTTGCGATTCGATTTGATCTGATGTCTCGAGACTCAAAGTCAAGTACGACCGACTTTCAATTAACATTCGCGGAAACTGCTTGCGTGACATGAACAACAGGCCTAACCACCGCTTAGAGCCGTTGTCACTTAATTATGAAAATACAGCGGCCAGGGTCACGATTATTGGCAATGCTCAACTTTCATCCGATGCCATTGACCTTCTGAGCCTAGGTCCACGGACCTAGGCTCTGAAGGTCAATGCAATCGGATGAAAGTTTGAGCATTGCCAATAATCGTGACCCGGCAGAGTATTCTCTCATAATCTAATCGAAAAACGCATGCTCTAAGCGGAGTTAGGCTGCTTCCGATCTAGAAGTCCACGACCGCCTTTTCCGCGATCATTTTATAAGCAGCCAGAACCAGTAAGAGATATTGACGTTGAGTTCCGCATTCTATCTTCTGGTGCTTAGAAATGAAAAAAAATTTAGACAACAACACCAAAACTTAACTTACAAACAGTGGCGTTCTGAAAAAGATATCACGCTCAATGTAGGAGACTTAATGACACATGGTTGGTAGCAAAATGCAGGGTTTGATGACGATTTGTGAGCCGGTTGAAGATCGAAAGTCCAACATGTCCGGTCTTCTATAGTCTCTTCAAGACGCATGAACTATCCTTACAACACATGTGTTTAACGTCGGCAGACATAAAATCAGACCAATTATCAGTTGTACAGGCGGCTTATCTTACCGAATTTCATGATTTTTAAGCAAGATTCTAACTCAGCTGTTTTCTAAAATACCGGCCCATTTGTCCAATACAATGGAATTTGTTCAGCAGATTAGAAACTCAGCGTTTGTTTCGAACAGTGCGATTGAGTCATTTGACATGACCTCTCTCTACACAAACGTCGAAGATCATCAAGCTTTGAAGGCCTTGTCGGAGCTGATGAATAAACATACCGGAACTATAAGCATGTTTGGTTGAGCAAATTTCGCATTTTGACCTTGGTGAATGAATGTTCAAAGTGCACTGTTTTTCGATGGTCTGGAAGTTACTACTCCCAGATCCGAAAGCTAATCATGAATCAACGACTAGCACCGGCTCTGGCAATTTGCTTAATGAGTAAGGTTGAGAGCTTGTGCTTAGTCGAATGCCTCCTTTGATGTAGAAATTGCTCTCTTGTCTAGGGATCTTTGGGTGTGCACTGTAGGGCGAAATTATGGGCGTTTCTACCATCGAAATTTGCATAGTTTTGGGCTTTCGGCTACAAATAATAGAAGTCGTTCATATTGCTTCTTGCGCTACAGGATGACCAATCTCAACGGATAAGCATCACATCAAGCATACGTTATTCCTGTAGGAATAGATAAGCTGTTCTAAATAGGCCTGGGCTAATGCTCAGCTTTTGAAAATTTTGGCTACTCTCAGTCATGCAAATTTTACGCAAACGAAAGTTCATAGCTTCCTTTCCAGAAGCGTTTTGTAGACGATGAAGACAGACTAGGAGTCAGCACTTCAAGCTCTTCGTGAGAATATGCTTCTCGCAGTGATCGGGCACTTTGAGTTCGCTACCCTTCCTTGTGTTAGATTCACGTACAAAGCGTGTTACCCACCACTTTTTTTATTGTAGGATTGCGGTGGGAGAGTTTCAGCACACTATCGATCAGCAATCAGTTCAGGAAAATTCCAGCTGAAAAACCCTGTGGTGAATTATCTACTAGTTGATTTCAATAAACAACCATCACACGTTTGTAAGGACTTTGGACGGTATAACCAGTGATAATCACCGAAAAAAGCACTATCTAACAGTAGCTCATCGTAATTTTTTGGAATAGAGGAAAGGAGCAAGAAGCCGTACATGAAATAACCAGTGCGTCACCTCTGCTTCGCAGAGGCTCGCACCGGCCCTATTTCCTGTTGCCTTACTCATTCCCGCATAATAATGACATTGAAACTCACCGCGCTATGTAGGCTATCACGAATAATTCGTAAACAACTGCACATTCGTAGAGGTCTTTCATGTGAGATCGGTATTTTCGCGTGGATAAAATCTTTCCCAGAAGAACAAATGCAAATTCGAATAGGTTTTTTTTACACACACACACACATACACACACACACACACACACACACACACACACATACACACATACACACATACACACACATACACACATACACACATACACACATACACACATACACACATACACACATACACACATACACACATACACACATACACACATACACACATACACACATACACACATACACACATACACACATACACACATACACACATACACACATACACACATACACACATACACACATACACACATACACACATACACACATACACACATACACACACACATACACACATGCACACATACACACATACACACATACACACATACACACATACACACATACACACATACACACATACACACATACACACATACACACATACACACATACACACATACACACATACACACATACACACATACACACATACACACATACACACATACACACATACACACATACATACACATACACACATACATACACATACACACACATACACACATACACACATACACACATACACACATACACACATACACACATACACACATACACACATACACACATACACACATAACATACACATACACACATACACACATACACACATACACACATACACACACATATACATACACACATACACACATACACACACACACACGCGCGTAAACAACCCTTAGCCCGTTATTATAAGTTATGATAGCGTCAATTAACCCGTTAACAATATTCAGCTCTTTCGGACATTTCTTTAACGCAATATATCGTTGACGCAAAACTTCATCCAAGTCTGTAATTTCACAAAAGATGAGTCGATCCTTTTTCTATCGTAGTTCTAAGTTGGAGGTCGGACGTCAAAGTTCAGAAAGGAAAGGGATTACAATGATCATAGCGAGATACTGTGACTATCATAAAATTGCAACACTGCCATAAGAAACAACACCTAGCAAACAAAGCTCATAGCAGAAGAAAAGCATGCTTTGATGACTAGCAAAACTTGTATTTCTAAGAAAATCCACTACGGATTACCGATTCAAAGGCTCACTACCGATTTAAAGGCACCGCCACCCAAAATGGGGTCGTTGAGATTTTGTTGTCTAACACTAGTGGGATCCCCAACTGCGTAATTGCCCAACTTGCGCTGGCAAAAGTTGCATTCAAGCGAAATAATTGCTTTGAAAATCGCTCGGGTGACAGATTCGCCACGTTGGCTCCTCTCCTTTGAGTATGAGTGACGTTCGTCCCGCCCATCCGTGCGCGCCCAACTAGTCACCGTTCCGAAGAAATCGCTCTGTGGGTTCTGAAAACGGAGGTTTTGGTGGTTTCCGCGGATTTTCGACTTGATATTCGGAATCAGGGGTATGCGAAAGTCCTGGAACGGCAAAAACATGGAGTCGAAATTTTGGGTGGACGACGCCTTCAAGGTCCGCGCATGCATCACGCGATTTCGATGCTTCGCCATTCTCCCAACAAAACAACTGACACAAATTTATTGCATGCCGATCATCTTGTGATAGTTGGTCGCGATTGGTCGCTTTAAAAACTATCACAACTGAAATGCAAGATGATTGGCTTGCAATTAACTTGTGTCAGTTGTCTTGTTTGAAGAGTCGCGAGGCTATGAAATCGCTTGATGTATGTCCGGCCCTATAGGCTCCATTTAGCCAACCTTCTCAAAAAAATTCGAACCCCAAACCTTGAATTAATAATGAAAAATAATCTTCCCAACCACGAGGTACTCTTACTGCAATGGATATAATCTGATAACGACGATTTGCACGACGCTAGCCACAACCGATCGCTAATTTTCGAAACTTTCGAGAAGAATATGGAAAGGGAAAATAAAACTTCTCAGAATTGAGCTAACACACAATGGCAAGCAGAGAAAATTCCGGAATCTGATAAGTTTAAATTACTGGTTCATGTCTTCAAAATAAAAGTACATTGAACAAAGTGTATTAAGCAAGCGGCTAAGCCCAAATATATGTGTGATTCCTGATAATCTGTGGATATCGTGCGCTCATCACAGTACTGAAGAGGGTTTCATTGTTCTTCACCGGTACTGTTCGTAAAACTTTGAGCATCGTTTCAGAATTCAAATCGTTACGTCCTATTTCTTTCAATACTTTGACAGCGGTAATCCTAGAATATAAATTTTGACCATTTCTAGCGCAAATTTCGAGCGAAAATACCTCCTCTTATCCTTATCCTTTTCCCAATGGTCAAAGTTTGTTTCAACCAAGAACCACTGTTCCTTACTTAAAGTCATGACATCGGCAGCTTTCATGCGATCTCTAGAATAAAATCGCTGTTCATAGTAGCATTTCACAAAATAAGTTTTTTTTGCCTGCTTTCTCACCTCGATATGATTGCTCCTTCACCTGCTCGACGTCCTCCGATAATAATGTAAGATGGCGAGAACAATCGAGTGTTGGATAAGTGATTCAAAGCTTCCTCATAAGATCTGTCCGATGACAAGACCTATATTAAAAAACTGCTTTATTTGCTTACATCAAATATCACGAGCACATTGGGAAAAGTGTTGTGAAATCGGTGGCAGTATTTTTGTGTGAATCAAAGTAAGCACAGATAAGAGTTAAAACCATGGATCGACCTGTGACTTTGCATAATGGACTTAAATCCGAAATTTTTTGAAATGTTTTGAGTTTCTTTTGATGAATAAGCATGAGTAAGCCAAGAACTGTTTTTCGAGTTTAGAAAGCGACACAAATTTTAGTCAGCTACACCCTCCAAACAATTTACAGAATGTTCTTCAGCTCCTTCGGCGCATCCTGCCTTCAGATACTTTTTCAATAGTCGGCTTAATTTCGTTATTAAGAGGAAATTATTGCAATCAATTGCATGTGGGAAGCTTGCGCAGTTTTGCAGCTCATGCTGTTTTCAAAGTGACAGCAACTTGAGATTCCCATGCCAAACTTATAATTTGTTATTATTATTATTTGGAGATAACCAATAAGACGTTAAAGGCAGCGTTCAGGCAAGATCCATCCACCCAGATTACCACATAGTTGTAAAGAGGGGCCCATGAGTATCCGATCTGCGTTGGTCCGTTGGTCGTTAGTCCTTTGACGTGCCCTCTAAGAGGAGATACGGGTTTTTGATACATACATATCACAAGCCGCCCCTTCGTATCACAGACCACCCCTGAGGACGAGTGCTTACGCAGGTGTGCGGTTGCATTGCAGTTGCATTGCAGTTGCACTGCACTGCAATGCAACTGCATCCGTGCAGTTGCAGCGCCTCTTGCTGGCATGACGATGGGAACGAGCAATTTGAAACTCGTCCGCTCCTTGAAGAGAGGGTCCCCAAGAACCGGGTTTTTTGGGAGTTTTGAACAATTTGGACTTTGCAACTGTAATCAGGGCCACGGAAAGGCCGGCCCCAGAATGGCAGAAACATGAAAGGCGAAATTTTGCCCGGACGCTGCCTTTAATGTGAGTAGTTAGTAAGTAGTTAGCATTCTCCTAGTTAGCATGGACGTTCTGAATTATTTCGCCCATTTGCATAAGAATTTCTGCGGAAATTAATAGCGATGATAATTTCGCATCAAATCCAAATCATATCGAGTTTGATGAATTATTAAGTCAAACCATATAAAAAACATATTGATTTCATTTAAACTTTGTACAATCTGAATATATACACACCTCACGCAGTAAAAATCCAACGGGAGTCCGGAAACGCGTCAGAAATTCCATAAAGATATTGTAGATGTATGGCCCAGAATCTGAAAGCTCAGTACCATAATGATGGCACTCTGATGATCGTATGTGGTTGAGTATCATGGCTACACATACATCGAGCATTGAGACTTAGTGAGAATGCATCATTCTGTCCGGTGAGCAAAGTTGATGATAACGCAAACGTGACACCACTATAGACCACTTTCTGAAATAAAAATAAATTTCGCATTTGAAACTACGGAAAAGAATGGCAACTGTAGGAGATGGGACGGGAATGAAATGGCGGAGGGGTTAGGTGAAGGAATTATGAGCCAAAAATAAGGCGAAACAGTGACAATTTATCTCTGTCATTGAAAAAGCTCCTGGATTGGCTAGCAAAAGAAGGTGCAGGATGGCTCTAGTGATTTCTCTTAAAGTAGATAAATGAGAAAGGAAAACGGGGATAGAGAGGAGAGGGAGGGGGAGGAGTCTTGTGATTTTGATACGATTGGTGGGAAGATGCTTTTACTAGCCATCAAAAAAGCGTTCTCTTCTTGTTCAAACTCAGTATCGAACATCTTCAAACCTTACAAGCCCTACCCTTCCCTTTCTTCCCCCTTCTCTCCAATTTTTCAGCAGATTCTAGTATCTTATGTTACTTTTCAACCTATTTGTTTCAAAAGTAGTACTTACTTAGATACTTAGATACTTAGATGGCCCGGCTTCACCTGACGTGCGGGCCCCAGCTCAGAAGTTTCCATTTTTCCCTGTCCCTCGCTTCTGACATCCACGATCTTCTTGGCTGACGTCGGTGGCTGCGTCCACGAGTTCCAGGTGCAAAAATCGTATCCAGCTGATTTCTCAGCTGGTCCATCCGTTCCACGAACACGTCTGCCCATCTCGTTGGAGGTCTTCCTCGGGGACGTTTGGCTTCGCGAGGAATCCACTCCGATGTTCTTAGTGTCCATCTGTCGTCTGTTCTTCTCATTATGTGACCGGCCCATTGGTGTTTGGCTTTCGCGACGTATTCCGCTGGGTCACGAAGAAGGGACATTCTTCTCATATCCGTGCTGCGAAGTCCGACTAGATGTTGCTTGCGTCGGGTCATCTTCAGAAGACTGCGCTCGAGCGCTCTGTGGGTGGTCCGTAGAGCTTTCGACGTGGCTACAGTGTCGGCCCAAGTCTCAGCTGCGTAACAGAGCGCCGGGAGAACGGTTGAGTCGAACAGGTGGGCACGAAGCTCCGGGTCCGTCAGTTGGTCGGTGGCTTCCTTCAGGGGCCCGAAGGCGGCCCAGGCTGCTCTTCTTCTCCTGTTGAGTTCTTCCCTCAAGTCGTTCTCCATGTTCATCGAACGTCCGAGATACACGTAGGAAGACGTCTCCATAATCGGGGTGCCTTCCAATTCCATTTCTGCATCTTCGCAGAGGGCGTTCTTCATGAACTGAGTCTTCTTCCGATTTATTCGCAGTCCGATCTTCTTCCCTACTTCGTTTAGTTCCTTCAGCATCGTCTCTGCTTCGGTGATACTGCTCGAGAAGAGAACGATGTCGTCCGCAAAACGAAGGTTGGACAGGAATCTCCCATCAACTCGTATGCCTCTCTCGTCCCAGTCCAGTGACTTCATCACCCACTGCAAGGCCGCGGTGAACAGCTTCGGCGAGATTGTGTCGCCTTGTCGGACCCCCTTCCCGATTGGTATGGTCAGGGGGCGATGGAATAGCTGCATCGTCGTTGTACAGTTCTTGTAGCAGTCGGCTAACGTCCTCACGTAAGCTGGGTCCACTCCTTGATCGACTAGCGCAGACAGGATGGCGTTGGTTTCGACGCTGTCGAAGGCTTTCTCGTAGTCGACAAAGGTTAGGACGAGAGGCAGTCGGTACTCCCGGCAGACTTCTATGACCCTCGAAACGGTCTGGATGTGGTCCATGCAGCTGAATCCTTTGCGAAATCCAGCTTGTTCTTGGGGTTGGGCTTCATCCAGTGTCCTTGATATGCGAGCGAGGATAATCTTCGTGAAAAGCTTGTACAGCACACTCAGCAAGCATATTGGACGATAGTTCCGAAGATCCTCCCGTTCACCCTTCTTGAAGAGAAGGACGGTTCTTGACGTTCTCCACTGGTCGGGAATCTTCTCCTTCTGAAGGTAAGATGTCAAATGCGACGCTAGAATCTCGTGTAGACGGTGTCCTCCGGCTCGCAGAAGTTCGACGGAAAGATGATCTGGTCCTGGAGCCGTGGACGTCTTCATGGTCTGTATCGCGATACGCACCTCAGCAGGTAGAATTCGTGGTGGTACCTCTCCAGTGGGAACAACGGGCATCTGCACGGGTGTTGATGAGCGGAAGAGGTTGGTGTAGAAGTTCTTCGCGATAGATTCCATCTTGTATCGGGAAGAAGTCGGAGTCCCGTCTTCGTTCAGTAGTGCAGCCAGCGGTACGTGATATTCGCAGAGGTCCCTTCGGCACTTCTTGAGACTTCGTCTTCTTTCTGCTGCTTCCAGTATCTTGGCTTGCCTGTACTTCCTGAGATCCTCTTGCAAAGCTGTTCTGCAACTGGTGTTGGCAATCAGTCGCTCGAGATGAGTTGCATTCGGATCCTGCCTCAATGATCTTCTTCTTTCGAGCAATTCCTTGGTGGTCTTCGAGATGCGGTCCAAGTTCTTCTCAGAAGTCACTGAGGCGCATTCTCCGCAGGCTCGCAATCCTTTCAGAAGCCGGTCATAGTCGTACGTTGGGTCCTCCTCGATGGGCCAGTCACAACTTGATATGAGCTCTTCCAGCCTGTTACCGTCATAAACGACTTCCTTCCTTCTCGCGGCACTATGACAGACTTTCTTTTCCAGCCTTCGGCTGAGTCGTATCTTCGCTCGAAGGAGGCGGTGATCGGAGCCACTACAGAAGGATGGAACTACAGAGACATCGAGTAAGCTCCACCTTCGGTTGGTGAGAATGTGGTCGATCTCCGCGTGGGTCGTTCCGTTGGGCGATTCCCATGTCCACCGGCGATGTTCCTTCTTCATAAAGATGGAATTTCCATGGAAGAGTCGTGCGGCGGAGAGAAGCCCAACAAGACGGTTGCCGTTTTCGTTCCGGAGCCCATATCCAAACTTCCCGATCCTATATTCCCTTTCCAGTGGCATCCCGATTTTCGCGTTGAAGTCGCCCACAACAAACTTGTAAAAGGACTTCTCGTTGCGGACGACCTCCTCCACATCTTCGTAGAAAGCATCTAGTTCTGATTCGTCAGCTGCTGATGTTGGAGAATAGCAGTTGATGATGCTGATGGTCTTCTGATGTGGAGGTCGTAGTCGTAGGATGCCTAGTCGAGGTGATAGGATCTCGTGCGAATCGACAAGATGGACGATAGATGGGTGGACGACAAAGCCGACGCCTCCCACGTTTCGTGATGGAACCTTTTCACCACGAATGATGAGGGTCCCATCACTCATCTGTCGCACGTCCTTCTTCCTGGACTTCGTTTCCTGCAGAGCAATGATGTGGTAGTTGATGTGCTCTGCAGCGTCGAAAAGAGCGTGGAGGTCGGCGTTTGTGGAGACTGTCCTGGCGTTGTAAGTGCAGAGCATGAGGCAGTCTCCATGGCGTGTCGTCCGGGCAGACGTGTCGTTTTTGTCCAATCCGAAAGGCGCCCTGAGTACCCTGACATCGTTCTTGCTACCACCCGGCGCCGTAGGCGGGATCCGATGTACAGGGTTTTTTCTAAATCTTCTTGCTGTCTGAGTAATAAAATTTGTTCCCCTACAAGAGGTGGCTTACTAGGCCTACTCTTGATTTCCACGGGGTGATCGCTGACCCCGGCCTTGGAGCGGGGAGGGACCGCCTAGCGACCAGAAGAAGCCAGACGGCGGAGAATCTGGCGCGGCCAGTTCTTAGCTAGGCATCCGGCCGAAACCGGAAACGTCGAACTCCTTCACAGCTTGGGAGGCCCTACCAGAGTATACACTCGGCTGTGCATCGCAGTTCGACACCCAGTGTCACCCCCACGCCACGATGAGGCGACCGACCATTGTGGGGGTCAAAAGTATAATAGTAATTATCATTTATTTCAAAAAATCAACCTCTGCTTTTCCCCTTCCCTGCCCACCCCCACTTCGTACCAAAGATTCTGAACTAAATTGAAAGCTCTAGTGCAGATTTGAGAAGTGAAAACTTTTACCAACTCTTTCAGACCCGTGACCGCGTGTGAAATCGACTAGAACGGTGACATTCTTGAGCAAGTCACCCATTTCGTAATCAAGATTTCTTCCATGATAGATTTCTCCTTCATCGTTTTGCGCAACGATTGATGTGCATCCTAGTTGAAGTATACTGAAAATGTAGTTGTCGAAATCTCACTGCCTTTTCTCCAGAAGCAAAATTTTACGAAATTTTCAAATCTATTGCATAGTTCTTCCATTTCTGGAACTATCTGTGATGCGCGAAATCTAAGTGTCTTGTGGAAAGCTTTTGGATGAAGGAAATGTTCTTGAGCATGTTTTGTATGAATGGGCGGCGTTGGCCGGCAATGCATGTGCGGCGACTGGTCCAATGGTCTAGAAGCTCCGCCTATTTTTTCATCAGCCAATCGCCTCTCACATGAGTGATTCACCAGCCCCGCCCATTAATCGCTCACGTAAAAGAATTAGAACTTCAACATTTTACAGTTGTAGCACAGTATTACGCGATATAGTACCATTCTAACTATGGAAAACTCAAAGTCAGAAACTTGTGGAGACATAGCGAAATGATACATACGAAATACTTACTGTTTACGATCAAATGCAAGGATATCATATAGAATATTCATGGAGACAACGTGACCCAGAGCGAGACCAGAGGTGTCGGCGATTCCTAAAACAATTGTTTTCTGGAAGTATCATAAAAAATCAGAAAACTCGGAAAGGGTCATAGGAATAACCTCGTATCTCTTCTTCATATTCATATGGAAAGAAGCGGTTCAATTCTCCTGCTATCCAAAATGCGATAGGGAGTAGTTGTTTCGGGACATAGGTTCTGAACAAAATGCACGGAATTAAAAAGCAAAATTCAAGATTGCTACTAGAAAAAAAGGACATGTCTTAGTTTAAGCAGAACAAGATATTAATTCTTATTCGTTCTCAAGGATTCCTGCAAAATCGTATATTTTTTCTTCCTACCTTTGAAGGTTTCTTTGTTGGGACATATTTCTTCATGACTATCCTTCTAAATTTTCAAAAACTCACCAAAACGTTCTTTCCGTGGGGATCATTTGTCAGAGACATTTTTCTCAACAAAACTATTTGATAAAAAAATTTTGCCAAGCCATTTTTCTCACTAGATTCAGCGAATTTTCTGTGGAAGCATATCAAAATATTATTTATTATTTAACGTGTAATGAAACCTACTGAGCTACTCTGACAAACTCGGGAATGAATTCCGCATGATCGTGAATTACTTCGTTCCATCTTTCCCTTGGCGAAGCATCTAAGTCGATCTCATACTGTCTCGGCACTCGGACACAGTTTATGACCGAGGCCAACAAAATGAGGAGTAGGGTTGGGCAGATCATTTCCTACTAAACTGAAGCACTAATTAGTAAAAGCTACGTGCTTACCAATTTTCATATTCTTGTGCAGAAATTAATGTAAAGGAAAAAACGAGAACGACGAAAAAAATTTGCGCAACTTCATTTGCAATGCGCTTTGCACCGAAGTTGCCAAAATCGTTAATTCCTTTTTGTGAATGATTAGATTTGAATTATTCAAAAGAGGAAGTTTTTTTATTGCTTAGCAAAAGTCATTTTTTGACACGAATGTTAAAAAACCAGTCGTAACCTATTCTTTTGATTAATCATTAAAAATAGCAGAAATTCCAGCAAAAGCTAATCATGAACACCTTTTCTTGTCGAGAATCATCCATGCTGATCGAAGATCTCCAAAACTGTGATCTTTGAAAATGTGTTTTCAACATTTCGATTTTATTCGAATTACCTAATGCAAAAAAGTAAATACAATCAACCATATGTATAACATCATCAAGATTTTTTTTGGACTGCTGCAAACTTGTTGAAAAAGAATCCTTTAGAAAAATCGCAGATCTTACATTGGATAAATTTTTGCAGAAGAAATAGAAGAACTTGTTGGGAACCTAGACAGCAGTAATCGATAAATAGCATATAATTTGAAGCTTTAAAAGTAGTTTAATATAATTTTACAAATAAGCATAGCGAGAGAAGTAATGGGTGTATAAGAAAGTTTTTTGGATAAAAAAGGTCAAAGTTATTTGAAACTATGGTGAAAACACACAAACACTACAAGATAAGAGAAAGCCTCAAACTAGCTGAATTATGACAGGTTTCAAGGGGGGGGGGGGGAGAGCTCATAAACTTTGAAATGTCCAAGTTCTTGATGAGCTACCTGCGTAACAGGGGTCAGCTGCGTCTCATGGATCGATCATGGACGATGACAAGCGCTATCGGGTGCAGACTGATGATAGCGAAGATAAGTCATTCCCTCTTTTGGATTTTTATTTTGGAAATTGTCAACGAATCAACAGTTTGAAACGAATTTTGAAAACCTTGATTTTTTAGTAACTTCGTAGATAAGTTACGACAGAAAACTTTTTTGAAACATCTTTTACAAAATAGAAATATGAAATTACTACTTTCTAAAAGAATTAGCTTCTTTGAATGGTGAAATTTTGAACTACCCATCTCTTCCTCCACTCTATAAATTTTTGTAAACACAAATGGTGTTCGTATATTAAGTATTTTATTAAAACTGACATTTTCATTAAAGAAGAATCTGAGTAAATGAGTACCATACTGGATCGAAAATTCCGTCATAAGTCTGTTTTTCGGTGATATTTCAACTAAAAAACTTCCTCAAAGATTTTCGAATTCATTCTAAGGTTTTCTTACCTTGTCATACAATGCACATCGAAAAAAATTGAATCAAAAAATGATATTTCTAGGTTTTTGTAGCAGTTTCTACGCTATGCATGCTGTAAAAAATTTTCAAAAAAATTCAAAAAAAATGGTTCTAAGGTTTCCATGCTAACTCCTTGGTGATGCACATTAAGAGAAAAATTTTCAGGATTTATTTGTAATCTTCAAACTTCCCGCAGCTCGATAAGGCAACAAAACCTCCTAAGGGCGCCATAGGAAAGACTTTATGTTCAAAGAAAATTATAGAAAAGAAAAAGCACAAGGACAGGATGAGAGTGAAGAGAAAACGAAAGTGGAAAATGTTCATAAAAATTGTTCAAATTCAGTTACGCGTGCATTCACCCATTTAACAGTATGAAGCAAATTCAAGATTTTGAGATACAAAAATTTATCTAGTATTCAAAAGGAAACCATGAAAAGAAATTACTGCCAGCCTAATACGTACAGAATAATCATTACATACACAATGATAGAAGATAAAATGATCCTTTCAAGGAGTCATACAAGACGAAATTTCGTCTCCTGTACTGATCGAAAAAATGAGAGAGAAATCTTTTTTCAGTGATTGCGATATGCACGCACTAATAACGCAACGTAGGAGATTGCACGGATGATGAAGAACATCGCCGTTAATATAAGAACATCCACCCATTTGCTGTATTCATTGAAATCGATCTGGAAAGCGAAATTACTTTTTTGAAAGTCAGATCAATTTATTTTATTGTTTCTAGTTTTCTAAGCCAAAATTTATTCCTGCAAAAACCGAAGTGTGGACCTACCTGCTCAAGGACTTCGCGACCAGTACTGGGACAACTCGAATGTTGTAATGTGTAGTTGACACAGCCTGAAATTCAACAGTGTGGGGTTTTTTCCAGAATACACAACCCAAAAATTAAAAATCTCGGATTTTCCTATGACTTTGCATACAGGAATTGTTTGATATGCTAGTCACGAAAATCGTACTCATTTTGCATGAAAGAACCATTTTTGTGGGGTTAGGTAGGTATACGGTGAGGGCTCAAAATCCCAGATTCGCCTGAAATTTGGTTTAGAGGGGTTCCGACCCGCTGATCACGAATATCACACTTATTGGTAAAATTGCTTCAAAGTAGCCTTGTGTACTCAAGGTGGCCCTAAAGAGGGCCGTTGGGACAAGGTTTGAGACGAATCTGAGATTTTGACCCCCACAACAAAAGTCCAAAAAATAGCAAAAGTTAGGGTAGGTAATGCATTTTTTCAAGTGAACATCAAAGGAATCCGAACAAAAACATTATGGAAAGAGGAAGAAATTTTGCATAGCCCTTCTTAGAGTATTTGTCTATTTTTATTCGAATGATTTTAGGACAGCTCTAAAATATGGCACAAACTTTGGACCCACCCAATACCTAGTTTGAGCATAGTAATTTTCCGACTTTATTCCGGCTTTCACGTATACCGTGAATAGCTATCTGGCTTCAGCTCGAGTTTGTCCTATAGGGGGCAAATCCTCTATTAGTCATTGTTACTGTATGATTACGTATTGAATTCTCCCGCAGCCTGTCGACATTAAGTTAGCTGCGATAGTAGAAAAAGTCCAAAAACCTGGTAAATTCATGACCTGCCTTTAAAATGAGCTTCATAGGGTTTTGAAGTCGTTTGATGGGGTCATGATTTGGATAACTTTGTGAAAGCGGCTGTTACAATATGTCTATCTCAATTTGTGAAAGAGAGACCACGGGAAATTGTGTTTTTGAAGTTAAATGACTTTTCTGGGGCAAATTTAGCCTTCAATGATCCAAAACCTCTTCAAAGTCACTGCATTTAAGAAAAAAATAGTGATTGTCTCACTGTAAACTAAAACATTTTAAGAAGTAACCGAAGGCCTAGTAAACGCGCTAAAAGAGTATTACCAACGATCAAACAGTACAATACTACATACTACATCTTTATCCATTGAAGGCAATGCCTAATTTTGCGTAGCGGCGCTGTGGGACGACGCTATTTTGCACAACACTTGCGATGTGAGGAGGTTTTGTGGTTATTAACAAAATTGTACAAGATTGTTTTGTAGACAACTGGAAGCGTTTTCTTGAACGACGGAGCCTACAGGTCCCAGAAGTGCAGAAAAGTTGGAAAAATATCAATATGTGGAAAAAATACTAAGACTACAAATGATATTACTTTCCAGAGGTATGAGCCATCGGTGGTCCACATCGCCCCTGGCAGCAAAAAGTGCGTGGGCCACCGGTGGTTCGTCGTCAATGGCTTAGGACACCACAGCGCTTTGCTTTTGAAGATAAAAATGTTTATATGGTTTATTATTTTTCCTCAAAGAAAAAAAGAAATTTGTAGATTGCTGCCTTTTTACAGCCCAACCCTTTGAAACTTGGACTGGTTCCGATTACAATCTCACCAAAATAACATACCTGGAATGAAATCGATCATCTCCCACTCGTTTATAGCGAGAGCTTCATAGCTGTACCTAGAAGAAACTTTCATGATTATACATCCTGAAATTGTTGGCACCATTCCAACTCACTTAAAGTACGACAGCTTGGAGAACCATTTGAAGTATCCAGGAATAGTTTCGAACGTGATGAAAAATCCTCCAAACGCTAGCATAGGGACTATAAACATTGGAAGAATAGTCATAGCAATGTCTGTGGATCCAAATACGGTAGCGGTTGCGTAGGCTGAAAATCATACGGTATTTAGAATACTGTAAAAATACTCTATCTAAAGATTTCGATGACTTAGGTACATATAGAAATAGCCACATTGATCATGAGAATGCAGATAAAAGTAGCAAATAAGAATGTCCAGATGTCCGGTACGAGACCTGAAGAAGGTAAGGTAGTTATTCACTTATTCCTACTTTACTTAACCGACTTACCAGCCATCCAGTAAACAATCGCAGTGTAGATCGCTGGCAGGATTACGTATTGGGGGAACTGAAGATTATTTCTCCGAGAGTGAAGTAGAAGAATTGAAGGGTTAAAACTTTGAACTCACAGTGCAAAAATCTTGAGATGGAATTTTTCATATCATATTTTCCATATATTTTATCAATATTATTTTATTTTATTTATTTTATTTCATTGTGTTTCATACTTTTTCCTATTTATTCTGAAAATCGAAGCAACTCTTTGAAATCTCTCGAATGATTCATAGAAATCCTATCTTCTCGGTTCTTTTGAAGTTACAAAATTCCAACTAAAAAATCCAAGATTCGAGAAATGCGTACTTAATTTCAGAGTTTGGGTGCAAAAATTCAAACTGTAAATCCTCTTATGATTTCCCGTTTCAATCATGCAATGATTAAGAACAAATTAGGGGTGATCTCGATGCCTATCTGGGACAGTTTTGATGCTCAAAACAAGTAGAGATATTTGCTTTTAACCCTGCTAGAAATTTCTTTTTTGTTTTTTTTCAAAGGGATTTGGTTCAAGTTTCTTGTTCTGTTACCGGAAATGTACTTTCGAGAAGATTCAAAGACATTTAATTTTCCTTCCAAAGCGGAATTCCTCTGTAAGCATAAAAGATTTTGAAAGGAAAGTCCCGCTCGGAAAGTTTGTTGACTATCTGAAAAGGATTTTTTGTGTTTTAGATTTTTCATTTCAGGCTATTCTTCATAAAAATTCGCTCGTTTGCAAGAAATCAGACAATGAAGAAAGACCTACTTCAGCAATGTTTTTTCCCAAGAAGTATGCAGAAGTCGAATAGATACCATTAGCGTTTTCTCTCAGAACAATCGGCAGCTCCATAGTCATCGCCTTAAAAATATTGATTACTAGCTGGCTTACCCGGCTCCGCCGTATCCGGACCAAACTTGGCACACATACACTTCGGGCCCCGGCGGGTGTCACAGTCCACTTTTCGTTATCGATCGATGTCGATTTTACCGATTTTTATCGATTTTTTTGCAGAGTTCACCTACAGGGCTAGGAGTTGGCACAGGGGGGGGAAGTGAGCATGGGGATTCCGAATACAATATTAGTTTTCGGGATTATCGATTACTTTTATTGATTTTATCGATTTTTTTCGTAAAGTTTGACCTGCGGGGCTGGAATTTAGCACAGGGGTGTAATCGAGCATGCTGATCACCCCCCTTGGGGATGATCAGCATGCTCGATTACCCCCCTGTGCCAACTCCCAGCCCCGTAGGTGAACTCAGCAAAAAAATCGATAAAAATCGATAAAATCGATATCGATCGATGACGAAAAGTAGCCTATGACACCCGCCGGGGCCCGTGGCGTATGTGTGCCAAGTTTGGTCCGGATCGGTTCAGAAATGAAATTTTCTATTCGGAACATACGTACATATAAGCTCCTGCAAGACGAAGGCGGTCGGTTCGATGTGCAACGCGGTTGCGACATGGCTGCGTCACAGCAGCGTCACAGCCGCGTCACAGCCACGTCACAGCCACGTCGCGCCTCGAACCAACCGCCTTCGTCTTGCAGGAGCTTATACATACATACAGACATACATACAGACATACATACAGACATACAGACATTCAGCTTTATATATAAGATTTGAAAATTTGCAGTTGCTCGCCGAATTGCTAAATTTCGGCTGTGAATGAAACAAACTGTTTTCAAAAATATCAAATTTTCGGGACATTTTTTTGAGGTGGGCAGGTTTTTGGTGGCGCGAGGGAAAGCGAAAGCGCCAATGCTACGCTTACACCAGCGGCCATTGGCTTACCGAAGCTCGCGCCACGCCCACAGCCCAGTGACCAAAATGCGACTTACTGGTACGGCAGGGTATTGCAGCATAAAGCTGGTATCTCGTATTAGATTGAACAACACTCCATTTATGGACATAATCGTATCCGGCCTTATAGGAGTTTGAAGATAGATTAGCCCAGTAATAATGGCGCATATCTGCAATAAATACCCATTGATTCAATGGGCTTGGCGGCTGGAAGGCGGGACTTCGCGACCTAACTAAGGCTAGATAATGATCAGAGAGTAGGCGCGCGAGAGAGACGCAGATAGCGTCGCGGGAGCAAGTGGCCTTAATTAGGTCACAAAGCCCCGCCTTCCAGCCGCCAAGTCAGTTGAATCAAAGGTTAAATTAGCTTCTCTGATTTTGCGAATTCAAAAATAATCACAATAGTTTGGATGAGCTTGATTTTGAGCACTGTCGGATCTCTCACTATTGTCAACCATGCCCTCCAAGTGAGTGCGCTCAACTGAGCATAGAAGGATGCTGGATGCCTGGAAAATAATGTTCATAGATTTTCCAAATTATTAATCCTTGAATTCTTATTTTCCTAACTAGAGGAGGCAAAATGGAGTACTTACTTCATTGTGAAGAAATTGTGGTTCATAGCATCACTGCCATCGAATACGCGTTTTTCCATCGACTAAAATAGCGAAAAAATTTCAACTTATTTCCAAAAAGTTTGTTTTTGTAAGCAGTTAATTTTAGAAGTTTTTTCGATCTTAATCGGTGAAGTTTTTTCGGTATTTCTAGAATTAACTTCCTAATTTGTGTTTAATTCAATGTAATTTCTTTGAGAGGAAATCATAGCATTGCTATTTTAGTTCTTACGATCGGCTGTTTTGAAGTTTTCGATTTTCTTGAAATTCGAAACTAATTTTGAACATTTACAATTTGAATTCAAGCATCTTCTCATGCCAAAAAATACTAGTTTGATCCCATTGTATTTTCTTATAAAAATTATTTAAAATTCTTATTTTCTTATCATAGCAGTTGTATTTCGGCTCTTCGATCGGCTGTTTTCTAAATTTTTTTGATTTTTTTGAAATTTGTAACCAATTTTGAAAATTTACGAAGTCGAGAGCAATTTCCTCATTATAAAAATACTAGTTTAATTCATTGTAATTTCTTGTGAGAAAATCATAGCAGTTGCTATTTTGGTCCTTACGATCGGCTGTTTTGAAAACTTTTTTTTGAAATTTGAAATCAATTTTGGAAATTTACGAATTTGAGAGCAAGCGTCTTCTCATCCTAAAAATGCGAAAATAAATACATTGTATTTTTCTATGAAGGAAATCATAGCAGCATTTTGGCTCTTACGATCGGTTTGTATTGATTTTTTTTTTTGAAATTTGAAACTAATTTCAAAAATTTGAATTTGGGGCAAGCATTTTTTTTATCCTAAAGATAACATTTTAATTCCGTTTGCTTCCATTCTAGCTTTTGCTGTGTGTATAGTAACTTATGAGTAAACTTCTTGTCCTTTTTTCTCACTTTGTCCCCTTCAATTTCTCGAATCCTTTTTCCGTAAGCTGTCTCCAAGAAACCTTTTCGAATTTTCTGAAACAATCTCTACCGTATTTTGAGAATCAATCATGAGGCTATTTCTTACCGATATAGTTTCGAGGCAGTCTTTCTTCCGGTCGTTTATGATTGCTAGAGTCCGAACGAGGTGATCAGCTGGATTGCAGTAATCTGGACTTGGATAGCCACATCTGCAAGCAAAATCGACAATTTTGGAGTAACAGTGCCTTTTCGGAGGTCAACCTTTCAAATAGCGGATGGGCTTCTTCCGTAGGACCCAGATAGATGATTCTTCCGCAAGCCATAAGGCAGACACTTGAAAGAGTTGATTACTCACAGAAAAATCACAAAATTTTTATTGTTTACTCATTAAAGCTGTTGTAGACTTGACTGCTCGGTTGATGAATAGTGATTATCACAGTCATTCCACCATCTGCTAGAGTTCTCAGTGCTGAGACGACGTGGCCTGAAAAATTGATTTTTATAACTGGAGTGAAAAGTTTGCGTACAATACCTGCCATGAAAGCATCCAACCCTGAGGTAGGTTCATCACAGAACAAAATCTTTGGGCATGTGAGCATCTGCAAATAAAAACCAAATGAAAAACGAAAAACGAAATGAAAATCGGCAATACAAACAGAAATAAATGACGCTAATGCAAAGCCTGTTTATCGATTTGCCTATTATAGATCCATTCAAGCAATGTATTCTTATTACTATCTACTAAAAGTTGAACCCTAGCACCCAAAAAGTTAGAGAGGGACAGAAAGAAAAAAGAGAGAAGATGAGGTTTTTTTTTCACTAATGGGCAAATTCCTCTACGATTATCTTCTTTTGCTGTACATCATTCTTGACTCTGTAATTCTTTCGCTGCAAAAAAATGCTTCCATCGTCACAAATGTGAGAGGGGAGTCGCGTGGAATGGTCAATCTCAAAGCACTGTACTGCTCCAAAGTTGCCGGCAGGGCGTTGTGCAGGAAGAAATGTAGAGGAGTCCATATCGATCCATTCGACATTACAGCACGGCTCTGGAACGGCGCTGGCACGAACTGGCACGATGCTGGCACGGGCAACTTTAGACAAAGCACTAGATGGGCGGAGTCTCCAACTGAGAACTTGCAGATGAGCAGGTACTTTCTATTACTTTGGAGCTTCAATACAGGGTGACAAAAAGCTTATAGAACCCGGAAATCGGTTTTGAATTTGCTGAAACGCTTTACCAAAGTTATTTAATTGTTGTTGGTGATATTTTAACTACATTCTAACGATTCATACCTCTGAAGCAAAAGCTAAGCGCTTCATTTCACCGCAGGATAAGCCTTTTGATGAACTCGGTGTACCAATAAGTGTATCAGCACAGCCACTGAGACCCATCTGAAAAAGCAATCGGGATCTTTTTCATAAAATCAATATTCACCCTTTTTACTTAAGAAAAGCCAACAAAATTGATCACATTTATAACTTTCTGATATCAAACCTTTCGTATGACTTCTTCTACCCGAAGATCCTGTTCCATTTTTGTATAATTTGATCCAATACGTAATCTGGCCTGGAATGAAAATTTCAGCGCTTCTGTAATGAGAAGTTGACACAATACCATAAATCGCAAATGTTCTCGAGCTGTCATTGTGCCAACAAACATGTCATGCTGTTGAACAAATGCAGAAATCTGTAAAACGATTATTTTTTTTGTTCGGAATTCATGAAAGTCTGAAAAGTATGAAGTCCAAATTGTGTTTACAAGATATTAGCTGAAAAAATGCGTTTAAACACTTTTCAAATGCGTATTCAAAAGACATTCTATGATTTTGAAAAAATAAAATTCTGATTAGTTCCACTTACCTCTTTGAACTTCCACTTGCTGATGCTCTGCCCATCTACCGTAATCTTGCCTTCTACATCCAGACCAGCTAGATTCCGAGACGTTAGTACATTTAGAAGCGTTGTCTTGCCAGCACCACTAAAACAAATATTATAACGTGAAAAAACATATCTGAAGAGGAAAATATACATCAATCGCTAACCTGCTTCCCATAATTGCCAACAATCTTCCTGCTTTGGCAATACCACTTACTAAAAAGTCTAGCTAACACGATAACAAAAAGATTTTATATCTCTTCAGGTCACAGAATCTTCAACTGTTTTAGTGATTGCTCCAACTTACCTTTATGCAGAATCTCTTTTCGTTTCTGTGGTCGACGCCTAGCATACTTTTCGCTAAAAGAGGATGCTGTCGTGCTAGGACCATAGGCGTACAGAGACGACCAGCAGAGGTCACAGCTGCAAAGAAGTGTGGCAAATCAAGATTTTGCAAGGAAACAATTGCTTGTGTATGTTCTTGCAGTTCTGGCATGAACACGATGTATGTTGTAATATAGAACTTTAGAGGACTCTGAATCAAAGTTTCATTACAACCGTGAAACGACCAGTATTGATGCTTGATAAAGTTGACAGAAGTTTTCTTATTTGTAGAATATCTTGGCAGAAGTAAATATGCCGCAAGACAGTAAATTCGCATCGCTGGAATAAATAATAAGCTTTTGACGGTAAAATCAAATCTTATACGTCATGTGGAGCTCTAATATGCGATGAATCAAAATTAATTTGATTAATGTGGTTGTCAAAGAGTGAACTTACACCCTCCATGCATAACACAACTTTACCTACATTTTGAGGAACCGCACAAAAACAGGGGTTATTTGTTACCCTTTTGTTTGGTCAGTTGTTATTTTATGAGATCATTATGAAGACCAAATTTGTATTGATATAGTTACCGAATTAGTGTCACTACCAATAAAAGTTCAAAAATTTTCAGTGATATGCATTTACCCTTGAGGAATCCGAAACCGATTATTTGAACTTTCGTTTGGAGACGGATATGGTGGAGGTTGATCGAAATCTGGGGCTTTCTCTGACGTGTAGGAGCAGCTGTCAATATCCTTGTACGGTGGAGGGCTTCGAATCAGAGGATGCATATCATCGACTATTCTCATGTCTGCGAAAGGAAGACTTTCATCATCAAGAAACAGAAGAATCTTCACTTAGATTTTGACCGAGGAAAAAAAAGGCTGGTCAAAGCTGCATAAGGGAAGGAAGTGAATTGTAAAGAGGTCAACCACGATAAGAGAGGTCATATCGCTACCAATAATGCGGTAAAGGCAACTAAAGGGCTACTGACCGTGTCCGGCACCCGTGTATGATATTGTTATCACTGAAGATGATATCATCTGTACTTCATATATGATAACAAGTGCGTAAATATTTTGCTGAAATTGAGAAGCTAGAAAAAGATCGGAAGTCCGTGTAAACCTGAAGGGGAACAGAAGAAAGATGATTACATTAGATCCTCGAAGGCTGCGTCTCGGCAGAATTTCGTTTTCTAGTTTTCACTTTTTCGGAGCTTTTTCGCGGAATCTAATTCTGGGCCTTTCAGCGCATGAAAATGGCGAAAATGCGCTTTTTCCGAAGCTTTTCACTGGAGAAAGTAGTAGTGAATACGTGTAAGTGGGGGGGGGGGGTCCGGAACAAGGAGGTTCGGGAGGCGAGGCTCGAAAGACTTTCGGCGTATCTTCACTGAACGTGAATCTGGAAAGCTTTAAAAAAGCTCATTTTAGCCATTTTCAGTCGCTGAAAAGCCCAGGTATGGACTCCTCATGGCAAGAAGGCCCCAAAAAGGCGAAATCTGGGAAGTGAGATTTGCCGAGACATTGCCCTTAAACATAAATTCGAATTTGATGTCTCTTTATTATTTTTATATCATATGTCACTCTACAACTTTGTCCTCATTATGAGCTGCTCATACGATACTCATTTATCGGTGGAGTTGGAAGAGTTTCTTTGAGGATTTCTTAGCGACTCTTCTTAAAATTCTTTGGGATAGTTCTGAAAATTTTGCATTTACCTTCCGAACTTTTGAAAAAGCCACTCAGCATGAAATTCTCCTACAAGGCTAGGAAAATTAGAATTATTGATTTTCGTGATAATTTACAAGCGAGATGACTGGATGCAATAGAATTTTTGAGGATTTTATGAGTCATGTTCTAAAATTTTTCTCGATGTGATTAAACTGCACAACCTATGCAAGTTCCCGGTATTTTCCTTAGACATTTCAATTCAGAACGTCGTTTATACTGAATATATGCAATATGTGATGTCTGTCCATCAATAAAAATAGCTTCTTCTGAATTAGGAAGAAGGAAAAATTATTTCGGAAATTTTGCACATTCTCTCTCTTGAGAACTGCTACACCCTGAGAAGTTCCGCAACGAGTGATTTTGCTTACTTTTCGTACATTTTCGTAATTTTTCGTTGCAGTTGCTTAATCACTGCCACTTTTGGGCATCGACTGCGTATTATTACCTTCGAATCAAATTAAAGCTCAAAGCTTGTTGTACTCACCCTTTTACAATGCATTTTAGCATTGCAATAAATACAATTAAGAGAAAATTTATTTTGTTCATCGCATCACGGGATAAAGTTGGACGGAAGAAGAAAAGCTTCATAAGTTCATTGGTTCAGGAAGCGGGTTGGCCTTCGTGCTGATTGTCAACGAATAGCAGATGCACCAAATATGGAAGGCGAGTAGAAGTACTAGTAGAAATTGATCATTACTCATCCTGAAGGAATAGAATCATTAGTTACTTGTGATTTTTTAAGAATCTGCTGTAGCAGAAGATCGGCAGAAAAAGCAAATTAAATCTGGGAAATCGACATTTGACAGCGAGGACTGGAAGCTGGTCTAGGAAAGAAAAGCTACCGTCTGTTTATGATCGAAATCTCTACTAATTTTCAACAAGTTATCGGGGGTTGTCATATAGGCCTTGGCCACAAAATGAACATTTTTAGTGAACCAACAGGTACAATTGGTCAAATTATGAGTTCATAAATCATACTACTGAGCCGAGGTCATGATGATTTAAAGCAAATATCGGCAAAGCTCCTCATAGTCTTTGTAGACGCTAAAGCCTACCACCGAAAGTAGTTTTTTCCCTACAAATGTTGCTTATCATAATACCAAAAAAACCTATACTATTGAAGAATTTTAGACAAATTAAGCTGTTTGCAAAGCATAGACGACAAAATGGCTGGCAGAGACTGTTTGATCGCTTGAGCAAATACTGTCGAGTAGCGCTCGAAAAATGTAGTCAGTGAGAAGACTTGAGCTGGGTGCAAAAAAGAGAATTCAAGCATGATTTGTTTTGCTGGAAATTTATCGCACTTGAGCAATAGTTAAGAGATTTTCTATGTGGAAACGTTTTATCTTCTCAAGATTTGAGCCAGAAACATTTGCGAAAGAAGTTAATTTCTGATTTGATGATAGAAATCCCATGAAGTATGGTAAGAAATTATTATTTTTATGCGAAGTTACTGCATAAGTCTTTCCGTTTGCAAAATTAGGTTTAAAATATCGTTACTTTCAAAACTGACTTTTTCAAACTTAAACTCCCTGAAAAGCAAGCTTTTGGCTATCAGATAATTGAAATTATTACTTCATTATGTATTTCAGTCAATCCAAAATGATAACTACACCATTTCTTAACTTTCACCATTTTGCATTATATGTCACATGGATAACGAAAATAAAATGAAATGCAATCCAGAGAGTACGAAGCGATTATATTGATCGAGTCTCGTTAGAGTGAAAAACCGAAAAAAAGGATTTATAGATCTAACTTTATTGAAATGTGAATGAGGGGAAATGGGTGGAGCAGGAAGGGGGGGGGGCAGAGAAGGTGGGAAAATGGGGAATTTGGAAGAACTTGAATTAGTCACTCAGGGCATTTCTTCATACTCTTTCTCGTTTTTTTCCCTCAAGCAGATTTGGGCATGATGCCTTCGATGTACTAGTGTTTTATCTCGATTAATGCTGACTTTGCTTCATTATTCCGATGAACATGATGAGAATTGCTAAAACATAAGAAAATAAATCACCTTCTTTATTTAAAAAACCAAGCTTACCACCCCCTCCCCCCCCCCTGAATTGATGACTAGTATGCTTGATGTATAAAGTAGGCTTAAATGGCTTGCTGATCACTTCGAAGGAAAATAAATTGAGTTTGATTATATTCATTTATTCATTTCACGTAAGTACCCAATATATAGGAAAGTAGACCAGTAAACTTACTAAGTAGACACTGAAAATCCAAACAAAGGGCATGAAAGTTTATCAACTCAAAAAATGATTCAAGTACACTTTTCAGTATAGTTGCTGAGCTTGACCAATTTGGTATTACAGCTTCATTGGCCCATAGCATCCAAAATGGAAACTTCTTACTAACTGCATATTTGCTTTGCCTTTGGAATTAGCCAGATATTCGTGTATCAAGCACTAAGATTGATAATATTCAGCTAACATAATACTTTATTTTAGTTTTATTTGACGCATATATTGATGCTTTTGAACGTAATCAGTGCAGAAAAATTAGAACGTTTCTGTATCATTGGAGAGCAATAACAAATTATGGATTAACAAAACGCGTAACAGCAGGGCTACTTCCAAATCACTCTAACTTTTTTCTCTTTTTTCTCTCTCTTTCGCCATACCAAAACTCGATGTGAGCGGGTGAGGTCAAGGCGAATGGGTTGAACCATGCGTACCACGGTTAGACCACTGAACTCACCTTTACTGCACAAAGATCGGTTGTCCGGGCACTTGATATTTCTCGCTTTGTACCCCGGTACGCCGAATTCAAAAGAGTAAAAAACGAAGAAAACAGACTTTCCCGAAACTTGCATGAATTTGCAGTAAAGCAGTTTCCGCCAAGGCTGAGAAGCAGAGTAGCTCCTGGACCCTAAGTCTTTGCCTGTGCAGGCATGCGTACTCTGCCACAAAGCAGGAAATCCAAGAGTGGGCAAGGCTCTTCACTAGGGCGTAGGTCTCTCATCTTTCTCGAGATTCCCCGCTCAGTCCAATGACTTCGCACTTGTGCGAGGGCGTGTCCGAAGACGTTCCCTTCACATGGGGTGTATGTCCTTCTGAACCGGTTCGTCCTAGCGCTAATTACTCTGCCTTTCTTATAATCCATTAGAGCTTCTAAATATTTCTGAGCATTCCAAAGCAAGCGAGGCACACGAATAATGATAGAGACGATGTTTGAATTATGAAGAAAAAGCTGGAAAAGTTGCAGGTTTTTCTACTGGCCTTTCGTTATTTCTTCGCCCTTCCCACCTTCCAAAACACCATGAATCTGCACGTGTAAGCTGAAGAATTTACCTAAGCCGCCCACGTACAACATTTTTGAGTTTCATGGAAAACTTGAAATCTTGTTTGATTCTTCACGAGAATGCTTGCAGTCCAAGTCAGACGTCTCTACCGACAGCATAGCCCTCGCCTACCCAAGGCCGCGGCAGCGCCGACCAATCAGAGCGCGCAGTAATTAGGCTGCTAGTGCTAGCGGTTCAGAAGGGCCGTCTCTCCTTCACATGTAGTGAGAGTCCCACATACCCCTATCTCGCCTGGACACTGCCTTCAAGAGGTAGGATGACTCTCAGTGATCAAACGAGTGTGTAAGATCTCTGCTCTAATTTGTCGGTCCGTAAGTCAGTCTATTACTATTACGAAATTGCAATGAGGAGTGATTTACATTGTTGCAATGCATTTGAGAGCTGCATAACAAGTAAGGTTTATTTTTGTGATTACTTAACTGTCCCTCAATTGAAGAATGGTTGGAAGGCCGATACCATAGTATTTATACCTGATACCTTTCATGATGGTTAGCGCGAGACTCTGCGAAGCAAGGATGAAGCACTGGTAATTACCATAATTCCAATTTGGTTGAGTCGTATCACTCTAAAGTTGTGGAAATTTTGAACCTCTACCGCGAACGAATAAAATGGGGTTTAAAAGTCCATTTTCCTCCATTATAGACTTTCGTGGATATCATTACTGGCCGGAATTTACATTCGCTAGCGTCATCCAAAAAATTTTATCTCATCGCAACCACGAGGCAAAGCGGTGTGATGAAAATGATTCAACCCTACTTGAGCTCTCGCT